CGGCGGCACCTCCGCCGCGGCTTGCGGCAGCCCCTCGCGTTCCCAGGGCACCGGGGCTGGCTGTGTCCCCCCTCCCGGGTCCCACCTCCTGCTCGCCAGGTCTGCAGGGGTGGTTGCCCGCGGGGGAAGCGGCTCACCTCTGGACTTGGAGTAGATCGCGAAAATAATCACTGCTACGAGCACTCCGGCTCCGATCACCGAAGCGGCCACGATTCCAGCCTGCCTGCTGGAGCCTTGAAAGAGAAGAAGGTCTGGTAACAACATGCTAAGGCATATCTGCCTCCTCCCAGCATCAGAGCGGGGGGGGAAGGGGACATCTCAGCTTCGACACCCCGCTGAGCCCTTCCGTGCTTCGCAGGGACCCTCGTCTCACGAGAAGACTGTCCAACACGTGAAAGAAAAGTAGAACAAGATACTAAAACACAGACAATTCTTCCTCTTTCTGTTGAAACTACGTTAAAAACCAAAAAAACCCCAAAAATTACAAGACATCAACGCTGCTTTTAATTTACTCTCACAGTATTTGATGCTTGAGATAAAATGGCAGCTCACAAAGAAAAAGTTAGAACATGAGACCTCAACTATTATTAAATAAAGCTCCTGGCAGTCTTAGTTGCAGAAATAAGTTTAAAAACATGACCAAAGGACACCATAAGGGCTCAAATAACAAGAGACACAGAAAGAATGAATGAACCACCTAAAATGTTTCACTTCTCTCAATAAAGCTGAGCCTTAGGGGAGCCAACTTCAGAACATCAGAGCTTTGTCATACAGGGAGAGAGCTCTCCAGAGAGGACAAACAAACTAAACAAAGAAATGTTAGTTTGAAAGATTTTCCCCTGCTATTAAATGATGGCTCATAGCAAATAACAAAAACACCAAGAAGTTATAAAAATACATAACTAGAGCCTAAAGACCAACAGAACCCCTTTCCTTTACCCTGCTGCTTTTCAACAACCACTTTCCTTTACCCTGCTGCTTTTCTACAACACATTTCTACAACCCTTGTTCCCCACTCCTCCCAAAGCACCCTTGCACTAAAAGTTCCCCTTCCAAATGGAACCAGTTTTAAAACTTCAAGCTAAATTTGGAGTAATTTTAATTCAGCATCCCTCCTTGGCTGCAAACGTGTAGAGAAGCTCCAAACAGCTTGCTACACTGCCCAGGCCCTTTCCACAACATATAGCAAAGAAAAGTAAGAAAACAATATAGCAGAAGACGGAGATCTCAGGGTTATTTCAGGAGGGAAAGTAATTGAAGCATAAAGAGAAAACCCTGCCAGCTCATTCTCACATTGACATTAAACCACATTCCTTACAACTTCAGTGAAACACGCGCTACTTGCAGTAACATGTAAAACAGAAAACTGAGCAATGAGAGCATGAGGAACTAGAAATTAACAGACTTTAGGCGAAATTCTTTGTGAACATCAAGCAGCAGCAGCAAAAACCTCACAGTGGGACACACATTTCTCCATCAGGTGCAGTCTGGGTCAACAGATCAGAAGGTGTTTGGAAAAAAAAAAAAAAAAACAACCAACCCACCAACACCACAAGGCACTTACTGTAGACGTGTAAGGTGAAGGTGATTTTCACCCCTGCGACCTTTGCGGTGTAGGTGCCGGCATCGCCCACCCTCAGCTGGACGATGGTGAGCGCGTTGCCGTTCTCGGGGAAGGCCAAGCGCGACTTGTAGCTGTCGTCGAAAAACACGGCTTCGGGAGGACTGCCGAACTTCACGGTCGCTATGATCTCGTCGCGAAAGCTCCAGGCAGCGGCGTTTCCCCCTGGGCTCCGGAGGTGGAAGGTGACGGACCGGCCCACGGCACTGGTCACCTCTTTCCCGTCGCCGGCGCACACTGGGAAGAGAAGCCCGGCTGAAGGCTGCGTGCCCAGGGAGAGGATGCGCAGCGAGCTCGGGGGCTGGCTGGGGGAGAAGGCAGGATGGCTCGGGGAAGGTCCTTGGCCAAAAAAAGCCTTGTCCCACTGCGAGCACCTAGTGTGATGGCTGATCTGCAGGGGCCGGAGCCCCCCGCGATGGCACCCACAGCACCTCTGTTCAGCTGCAGGCAAAGGTGTGGAATCACGGAACGGTCTGGGTTGGAAGGGACCTTTAAAGGCCACCCAGTCTGACCCCCCCTGCAGCGAGCAGGGACATCTTCAACCAGACCAGGTCGCTCAGAGCCCCAACCAACTAGTCCTTGCGTGTCTCCAGAGATGGGGCATCTCCCACCCCTCTGGGCAACCAGTGCCATCATCCCCCCACCCTCAGCACAGGAAATTCCTTCCTTACATCTAGTCTGAATCTCCCTTCTTTCAATTTAAAACCATTACGCCTTGTCTTATCACTACAGACCCTACTAGAAAGTCTGTCGCCATCTTTCTTCTAAGCACTGGCAGCTGCTCTGAGGTCTCCCTGCAGCCTTCTCCTCCCCAGGCTGCCCAGCCCCCGCTCTCCCAGCCTCTCCTCCCCGC